CCCCCCCCCCCCTCCCAACCGGGTATTAGTGGGCTCAAACCCAGCCCCCTGGTAAGCGTGGTACCCGCGTACGAGCCCGTCAAAATTTTTTTCGGGTAAGTTCATAATTCGGGGAACTGAGAAGCTAGAAAGCTGAAATCTTGGGGTAGTGTTCCTCGTCCAACCGGGTATTAGTGGGCTCAAACCCAGCCCCCGGGTAAGCGTGGTACCCGTATACGAACTCGCCAAAATTTTTTTCGTGTAAATTGATAACTCAATTACCTGAGAAGCTAAAGGAATGTGATTTTAAGAGGATATACCCCGTCCACCTAAGTTTCATTCGGCCCGAATCCAGCTCTCAGGTATGCTTGGTAAACATGCATGGGACCGTGAAAATTTTGTTCCAGTAAGTTGCTAACTCAGGGGTCACGGAAGCTAGAAAGCTGAAATTTTGAAGGGATGTTTAATGACAGTTCTGGCTGCCAGTCTTAATTTGTTTAGCTAGAAGCATTTGCCGAAAAAACCGGTGCCGACAGCAACAAAAACTGCAGGGAACCATGCAAAAAACGCATCTTCGCAGGGGCAGCCCGTGCGTTGGCCAATTATTTAACTGTTTGTGTTATACCGTCTGAGTTTGCGCCGCAGGTGTATTTATCATTTCTTGATATTATTATCAAAGAATGACAAAATCCAGCTCTGTACTCCCCTGCCCATATTTTTTTCCCGGGTAACTGCTTTTTTTTCTCTCTGTACTGCTTTCCCGTTCTTCTTGCTTTCCCCCAGCGCCCGCCCTCCCGTACCCATGCTGCGCTGTTTCTCCTTCCTCGCAGTCTCCACTTATCAGTAAAAAAAGAATTATTATGCATGCACACACACCTCTTCGTTGAAAGTTGGCATTTGCGTGTTCTTAACAACGTGCGTTTTTCGCTTTGAGGTCCTCTGTGGATCGGGTTGCAAGTATCTGCAACGAAAACAAACAGATTATCCTTAGATAAAACAAAAGGAATAATGCCGGCTTAAAAAATGACTCACGTTTTAACATAAGAGTCCGGTGCCTGACCGTTGATAGCTTTTAAGTCTCTAACATGACCGATGAATATGTTCAAAGCTCCGTCATTTTGCTCGTAGCTGATCTTTAGGAAAATACGGCCTGTTATTTTCTTCGACGATACGTCATTCA